CTCTCTCTCTCTCTCTCTCTCTCTCTCTCTCTCTCTCTCTCTCTCCTCTCTCTCTCCCTCCCTCCCTCTTTCTTTCCTTCCTTTCTTTTTTTATTTAACCTTTGATTTCTCAGGTAAGAAAAGGCTAAGCCCCTTTCCAGAATCTGCTTTAGTCCGTCCGAGCATTGATTCCGTTTAGTGAAGCTAGCCGCCAGCCCCTCCGCTCAGTCCATTTCTTGATGTTTTCCTCTCCATTCATCACACCCCTTTTCCTTCTGTCTTCTTTCAGGATCCCAGTCCTATTAACCTCTACATTCCCTGAACAGCTGGTTTTTCTGTTTATTCGTGAACTCCTGGCTGTATATCTCGGGTAGTGCATTTTTTCACCTGTCGTCCGAAGGAAAATTCCCAGATGAAGTCGTGAGGTCCAGGTGTGTTTGGGGACGGTGCAGGCGGGTTGCCATAAGCCTCCCACTGACACGTGTGGCTCAGTTTCGGGTTTGCTCAGAAATGAGCCCTCCAGTCATCCACTAAGTAAGTCGGAGAAGGAATTAAATTCTCTGTGTTCTTAATAAACGCCATGGTTGTTTCTCTTACAAGGATGGGTCAAGAGGTGTTTGCAGTCTTTAGAGATTACTCAAGGAACGTCCAGAAGACTCAAGTAACCTGGCTTATCGGGAAAGACAAACAAAACACCACCAAAATTAAAGACAATGTAAATTATATTTACTAAACACCTACCGAGCAGAATCAAAAAGAATTTGTTAAATAATTAAGAAAACGTCGATGTAGCTGACGTGCGTGGCTCGTTGGTCTAGGGGTATGATTCTCGCTTAGGGTGCGAGAGGTCCCGGGTTCAAATCCCGGACGAGCCCAGTTTTGCCTTCCTGTCCCTGGAAGGTTAAATTTAGCTGTACTCCAAATGGTGTCAAGATCACACTCTCTTTTGCAAGTGTTCTTTCCATGCGCTGTTTTCCGCTTTATATCTTGACATCTCTTCTAATTAAAACCAGTTGCTTCCAGATTTGACTTTCACTTTTTCCTCCAGTGGGTCTGAGAGTCTCGCTAGGCCGGCAAGCCCCGCGCCATCCAAAGTCAGGGGCTCTAAATTCAGCAAAAGCGGTGTAGCTGCATAGTGCAACGTTCAGTTACATAGCTGCTCGCGGGGATGTCATAATTAGAATTAATTTTTAAAAGTTTCAGGCTTTGAAAATAGTTTTCGCTTCATAGTAATGACGTAATGAATTACGTGGTACTTCAAACAAAAAGCTTGCGCCCAACGTGGGGCTCGAACCCACGACCCTGAGATTAAGAGTCTCATGCTCTACCGACTGAGCTAGCCGGGCACATGTGCAAACTTTGCACTTTAATAGGAGAATATGTATTGTTCCCCCTTCCTTAAAGTAGTCATAAATTCCGATTTTAGATTTTATTCTGTCATTTACATTAGTTTTTTTTTTTTTTTTTAGGTAAAATGAAACTCTAACAACAAAATTTTGCAGCAAATTATTACTCTGTATTCCACTTGACGTTTTCCTTCTTTTCCTATTCTCGTTCACTGGTGTCCATCTTTTCTTTCCTATTTTTCCTCCCTTTCTTTCTATTTCTCGATCTTTCTATCTTGATCTCTCTTTCTTCTTTTTCTCCCTCCCTCCCCTCCCCTGCTCTCTTCTCTTTTCCATCTCTCTCTCCTTGATAAATCACAAAATGTTTCCTGGATCACTAATGCTTTTCCAGATCTCCAGACCTTGTGGCTAACTTGGTTCTGAGCACAGTCCTCCCACAGGAGCTCAGTTCCAAAGCCCCAGGCGTCAACCCTCTCCGATCCCCTGGTGCTTTCTGCTGGTGTTCCCATCACCTGCCAAGTCTCCCGGCTTCCTTGTTCTTTGTGTGAAGAACAGACCTGAAGAGGACAATAATACAGACAAGCTCTGCGGAGGCTGATGTTGACAGATGTTGAATCACAGCGGACCGCAGCAAAGTGTGTCTGTCAGGAAGGCCCAGTCGGCCTGATTGCCTGTCAACTTCATAAATTCATAGTAAGAAATATAACTCTGTAGTTTGATGCGTTTTTCAATTGTTTTCAATATAGGAAGGACCGAATTCATACCCAAAGTTGACTAGTATGTAATCAAAGCAAAGGAGCTTAGACGGTAACAGTTACATCATTTCGGAAAAACCAATTAATACTCAGCACCTCGTTAAATCTGCCAAGAGGTCATTGAGATTGCATTGCAAAAATACCCACGTCTGAGTGTCCAGTCACCCTCCCCAGCCTCTCCCACCCAAGCCTTCCTTTTTCCTTTATCTAAGAACCTGAATTGTGTCTCCATTTGTTACGTCATGTCATTCCATATTCTAACCATTCCATCGAACAAAACAAAACAAACAAACAAACAAACAAACAAAAACACATGCTACCTATTCAGAAAGGCAGCTTCTTAGGTCTGACACAACACACAATCGTGTATAGTAACTAGCAGGATAGAGTCCCTAGATTGGGTGATGTTGCTGGAATGTACACAGTGGAACTGGGAATCAAACATAAACAGTGGTTTAACTTACAGTACTCGAAGCCATGGAGTCTTTCAAATCGATCGACGAATATAACTCGGTGATTACAGATGGTTTAAATACAAGATTGATTTTTCTCCTAGTGGGAGACAAGGAAGTCATGCTCAAAGCCCTGGCTGTTTTGGGGTGCGGCACAAGCTCTCTCGCAGGATCTTTTGAGGACACAATTCTATTAGCTCTGGCCTGAAGTCTTCTTAGCCTGACTTAATTTTAATTACCTCCTTCCTCCAAATACAGCTACACGGAGGGTTGAGGGTTAAGGCTTCATGCTATGCATTTCATGCAGACACAGTTGAGTTCATAACAGGGAGACAACCAACCAAGCAAAACAACCTGTGATGTTTAGTCGTTCAGGAGCTTAGCCTGATGTGTGAGAGGTGAGAGGCGCTTGAACGTTTGCTTAATGGCTTAGGTGCCTTTTAACATGCACACCATCATATGTGTGTATATATACATATTCAGTAAATGTGACTGAATTGACAAAGAATCTCATGTGAGCTTTCCTTGTGACAGATCGTCTGCAGACAGTTTACATGCTCTTTGGTGAGAGAGCGGCAGGACAAGAAACAAAACCCAGAAGGCAATCGTCTGCGGGACCACAATGGCGTAGGAATACTTCTGAGCTTAGCAAGGCTCTGGGTGAAGGGCACAGGCTGAGACACTCACTCTGAGCAACTGAGCCTACTCAGGGACAGTGTTTAATCTATTCATGCAGGCAAGTGTGTACTTTAGAGAGACAAAAAGTATCCAGAGGTTCGGGGACTCTGCAGTTTGCAGGGCAGACTGGGCCTTACGCGAAGGGAACAGGAAATCCCTCCTTTTGTCTTATCCTATGGTGTCTTCCTTTGTTTGTTTACACTGGCTCTCACTGAACTCATTTTGTGGACCAGGTTGGGCCTGGAATTCACTGAGATCTCCCTGCCCCTGACTTCCTGGTACTGGGATTGTAGGCGTACACAACTAAATCCGGACCAGTCAGAGACTTTTGCTGCAGCTAGAAGTTAATACGTTTCAAATCTTGCTGGCAAAATGGGTTAAAAACTGGCTGTTTAAATTCACCACAATAAAGGTTTGTCCTCTCAAAGTCCTTACAATAGTTTTGTTTCTGTTTCCTTGGTTTTCAAATTTACGTTTTCTTCTGGGGCAAAGGCATCAAGTGGCAGAAATTTGGTTCTGAAGAGGCGCTGAATCCTAGAAAAAATAAAAAAAGGACGAATACAAATAAAAAAGTAAGAGGCAGCTCCTACAGGATTCTAACCTCACGCAGAGATGGCATCCCCTGTGGGAAGATGGTGCACGTGGGTCCTTCGATAGCTCAGTTGGTAGAGCGGAGGACTGTAGTTGGATCTTCCGGGCATCCTTAGGTCGCTGGTTCGAATCCGGCTCGAAGGAATCCGTAATTTTAGCGCTTACTTTTGTAGCTCACCCGCAAGACAAACTGAGTGTCGTCTTCAATGTTTGAATCAGCCTAACTCTATTCTCCATGTGCAGGGAAATGAATATAAGTTTGAAAAATTGTTCCCTGTAATGATTTTTAATGCTTGCAAGCAGTCTTCGACTCCATAGATCACATAATCCCACCCCTGGAGATCCTTGTCCCTTGAAGCAAGGGACCAGGAATGTCCCCTGGGCCCGGGGTCTGGAGCCGGGAGCGCGCACTCAGCCCTCCGCGCCGCTGGGAGTGACTTCGAGGCCCTCGGGTAATCGGTGGGGTACGCGCGCCCCTCAGTGGTCAGAGGAGAATTCTCAGCAGCTGGCTCCTCAGCCCGGAGAGTCACAACGCCTCTGACCCCAGGGAAAATTCTGTCTCTTCAGTGGTCTTGGCTTATTATGTTACGGTGGTTTGTTGTTTTGTTTGTTTTTTCAAGCGGCTGGGGAAACAGCGCATATCAGAATCACCTGGAGATATTCCACAACCTAGGCGGTGCTGATTTCAAAAGGTATGCAGACGATTTTAATGAGGGCAAGGGCTTTAAAACACTGCTAGGCCGGTGTTGTGGCGAGTTTATCACCCAGGAGTCTCAGCCCTGACAATAAAGTGAGCCTTTGTCTTAAAAACAAACCAAACAAAAGGCACTGCTAGAAAAGAAATGGCAATTTTAGGGGAGAAATGCAAAAGGAGGTCTCAGTATCAGCAGGAAGTATTTGCTAAGCTAACCCCATTAAAATACGTTCCTTCTGCTCTCAAAAACGTGACCTCAGATACACTGTGGAAGTGTCAAATAGAGATTCATATCAAGTAAGACAAAGTAACTGACAAAGATTTTAGATCCATATACCGAAGTTCTACAAGGGTTTGTGTTTTGCAATTCCTGTGCCTTCCGTCCCATATTCTCTTAGCAGATTATTTTCAATTTTTGTTGTAAACCATAACGATCTTAAATCAACAACAACGTACTGTCAGAGCTGGTAGCTCTGGAAGATCTTGTGTTTTCAAAGGGTGTTGGAGGCAAAAGAAAAATAGTCCAATTTTCTTTTCAAAGATAATGTTTGGGCCTCGGTTACAAAGTGTCTTAGATAGTCCTGGACTAGGCTTCTCTGCAAGGCACAGTACGTTCCAACCCAGACAGAGTCCTACATTTCTTTCCATATCTTGGACGCTATTCTGGGTATTCAAGGACGGGCAATCGCTCCAGCGTGAACTGAAGCAAATAAGCAAACGACCTCGATTCCAACACACCTGTGCACGATCTGCATACACTTTCTCATCTTATTAACAAAGGGGAATGCGTTTGCTTGCAGCTGTAAGAACTTGATAGGAAAACGGGAAATAGATGAATGAAAAGATAATATTATCACATAACTATTGAAAGTGTAGGTTTGCAAATTCCCTCAAAAATAACAAAACTCGAGCTCTCCAAGCCGTAATGGAAATCTCAGAGAACTCGGCCGTTTCCTACAGAAGTGTGTGGCAACAACTGGGCCCTTTCGGGTTGCTCAGGGAACCTGCCAAGTTATGAAGAGCCTTTGAGTTGGTGCCCCTAGTGGGCTGCTCTTGTTCTTGCAAGATATGATGGGAAAAGAAGAAACCCGAAGGATGCAAAAGCTGGAGAATGCGGGCATCGATCCCGCTACCTCTCGCATGCTAAGCGAGCGCTCTACCATTTGAGCTAATTCCCCACCTGGCGGTGCACGCCTGCTGCCTTGCTCCCTTTTGATATCTGGATATAATTCAACCCGAGCCAGCGTTTCCAATCCACCAAACAAGAGACCTTTTTGTGGGTTTAATGTTTGCTTTTAAAAGCCCAACGAAATCTGGACAAGATGGTGAAACTGAAATGAAGAAGGTGAAATGTCTTATTTAAGAAAGTGTTCCGTAACTCCAGAACGGCCAGGGAGAAGAAAGGAGTCCTGAGGCAGGATGACTGCCTCCTCTTTGAGGCCAGTTTGGGTTACAAAGCAAAAACGAAGCTAAAAGTGTGGGATTGTGGCTTGGTAGTCGCGGGACAGCCCGGGGTGACTTCCGCCCTGTGCCGATGACGGACAGTACCGCCTGCTCTGCGGAGGGCGTAGGGGTGCGGACCGGGGCAGGACGCGGAGATCCCTGAAACACCGGTGCTGGGATTGGCGGGAAGGTAAAGCTGGCACCCTGTGTACCAGCCTGTGTAGTCAGGTGCGGATTAGGCTTTCGGCGGAGGAAAACACTAGTTCCCCAGGCGGCGAGGCTGGGCTTTGGCTCGCTCCTCGGTCCCCATCAGTCCTCACTCACATCCTCTAACTTGCAGCTGACGCAGCTGGGTCCAGCGACTCTCTGGTCACTGCGGCTCTACGAATGCTCGCCCCTTAAGGTCAGCCCTTTGTCTGATTTTGTTTGTTTGTTTGTTTGTTTGAAATCGCTGCCGGAGGTCACATGACCAAGAGTGGAGGCGTCTGTCTTGGTTAATTTCTCTTCCCTTTGGCCCGATTTCGAGGAGTTTCAAAATTAGATTTCCAAAGTAAATATTGAGAAGCTGATAGCATTGAGGCAGAGCCATGTTGTCCTCAGTGGTCTTAAATTCACTGTGTTGACGAAGGTGATCCCTAAATCATGATCTTCCTGTCTTCTTTTAGAATATTCCACCACCTTCGGCTAGAAGTAGATACATGTATGGTTTCAGATTAGAGAAGTCTTTGCAAAAAGAGAAAAGAAGTTATTGCTCTTTCCTGCTGGACTTACGGAGTGCTGAGCATCAGGTGTAGCTCCAAGTCCTAGACAGGACTCTGGTGGTGAGCAGAGGGTGGGCTAGACATTGCCAGGGGCCTGTCGCATATTAGAATAGCAGAGGAGACCCCTACCCAATAAGCACAAGGACAACCGCCCCTTTTCCTGAAAGTTCATCAAAAGAGACTTCCTCTTGTGAGCTTAATGTTTATTTTTAAAAACTCAATAAAATCCGAGCAAGATAAATAAAAATTGAAAGGGTAAGACATTATAGAGCTGGGTAGGAGGCCTTCCTGGGCTACTTCATGAATACCAGGCCTGTCAGAGTTATAAAACAACACCCTTTAAATATGAATAAATAAAGGAATAAACAAATAGGAAAAGGAAAGAAAAGAAGAAGAAACACATCCTGAAACCTGATCCTATGTCTCTGAGCTGTGCAAGGCGCCAACACAGGCCTTTCTGGGGTCTTTAGACACACACAGGCCTTTCTGGGGGTTTTTAGACACACACAAGCTTTCCCAGGGTCTTTAGACCACCACACAGACCTTTCTGGGGTCTTTAGACCACTGCACAGGCCTTTCCCGGGTCTTTAGACACACACAGGCCTTTCCGTGGTCTTTAGACACACACGGTCTTTCCGGGGACTTGACACCACCGCACAGGCCTTTCCCGGGTCTTTAGACACACACAGTCCTTTCTGGGGTCTTTAGAGCATCACACAGGCCTTTCCAGGACCTTTAGACCACCACACAGACCTTTCTGGGGTCTTTAGACCACCACACAGACCTTTCCGGGGTCTTAAACCCACACAAGCTTTTCCGGGGTCTTTAGATCACCACACAGGCCTTTCCAGGACCTTTAGACCACCCTTAATATTTGCTTTTCTCTTTTGCTTATTCATTACAGGCAGGGTTAACAAAAAGAGGATGACTTTTTGTAGAAAGAAGCTCCTTCCACATAAGAGATTTTAAATCTCAGATGCTAAAGCTGTATTCCAATCTTGCTGAACTATTATTATTCCTCTCATAGACTTGACCTGGTACTCACCACTGTCCGGATTCTTTCTCCTTGCTGACAGAGACTGCCCAGTCTGGCCAGTATTTATCCTTTAAATGACGACGAGAAGTGTAGGTGTGGAACAGAATCAGGTTAGCTCATCCCCCAGGCACAGATCCATCTGCTGCCGTGACCATACTCAAGGTAGGAGGTCTTAAGCAGGAAGAAAGTTTGGGCTTCCAGGAACAATGGATTGGGTGTCAACGTTCCAAACTCTGTTTCCAGGGGTACCGGAAGATGAGGACTATTTTACAGTTCACACTGAAGTTTTGACAGTTATTAAATGATGCCACTTCCCGACTTTCATGAAGAAATGCCAGGGCACCAAAAGGACCAAAAGTCATTGCTGTCCACCCCCCACAAAAATCTTCCTCGGCTGTCTCAAACTTAATGCAACCCGATCATTTATCTAGCAAACCTAGACAAATCAAAGAGAAAGGACAGGACAAGTCAGACAGGACAGGCTGCAGAACGTCTAGAAGAGGATCGAGGACAGGAAATCTTACTAAAATTTTATATATATATATATATACCCATGAAATTATCAGCATCATTATATAAAATACGTCAAATATCTGAAGAGATTACATTAAAATACCTCCAACATAGCAAAATAGAAATCATATAATATTACTTAGGTAAAAGCCCAATATCTCCTTCGATAGCTCAGTTGGTAGAGCGGAGGACTGTAGCGGAGTTTGCCTATCCTCCCAGGATATCCTTAGGTCGCTGGTTCGAATCCGGCTCGAAGGATGAGTGTTTTGATGGGAATGCAGATATAATTTATAATTTAATCACGTCTCCCCTAACGTGTAGATGTCGTTTAGACAGAACTAGGGTCCTATCCCGCCCCACCGAGTGTCTCCCCCTTACTCTAGTCTCCGCTTTAGACCCACTGGATGTGTAGGATGTCATGGATTCCCTGCTCTCACGCCCTGACTTTTTGCCAGGAATTAGGACACAGGAGACAGCCTGTGGGTCGGCTGTGGTCGGGATCAGCACGTCTCGACAGAGAAAGAATTTTGTGAGGCCATGCTAAGCATACCCCAAAAGCAAAACGTCCTGTACTATTTCCCAGATAAAGCCATCAGGTCAGTCCCTTTCGCACAGTGTGTTCCCAACACATTCCGCCCACCTAAAATGTGCGATCCTCTCCCCGGGGACGGTAGGCTTGAGAAAAGGGGGTCCGAGGGTATAAAAGAGGGACCAGGTCCGTGTTCTTCTCCCTCCTCCTTCCCACTACGGGCGAAGACGATTGAACAAGAGTCTCTTAAAATGACAGGTGACGGGTGTGGAGACCCAGGCTTTGAATCCCCGCATCCGGAGAGGCTGAAGCAGGAGAATCCAGGCAGGGCTCGTAAATATCTGCAGTTTTTGATTTTGCTGTTGGTGTATGAGTTTTGGTTTTTCTTTCTCAGAGGTTTCTGGTGCACCTAGGCTGCCCCAGCCCCTTACAACTTTCCCTCAGCTCCCCATCTCCTCTCCTGTGCAGTCTCCGTCCTAGCCGAAAACTCTCTCTGGAACCCTCGCTCGATGTTGCTGTACGCGCACCGGAGCTCCAGAAGCCACCTACGCCAGCCACTCGCTCAGCCCACTCTGTGTAGATGTGGCAACTTCAGTGGATGAGCGGAGGAACCTGACGAGAAAGGCTTGACGGTTTCTTCAGCAACTGGGATAATTCCTCAGGAAATTCCTTCTGGAACAAATACTCTTCTCTTTTCCCGCCAGCCCCAGTCGGTTGTCTTCACAAAGCCCTGGGGCTAGAACGGGAATTGAAATGCAAGAATTCTTCACTGGGAAAGAACTTTCATTTTAATGTGATGGTCTTTTATGGTTAAAATACTAGAAATATTTCCATAAAATTTAAAAAAATTTAAAATTTATAAATTTCAACAAATAATAAAAGCTTCCCTGGATGGCTTCCTGTGTTCTCCCATGGTAGTCACTTTTCTGTCTTAGGATCAGGAAGCTGAGTGGCACCATGGTGGTTGCCAGCCAAGTATAACAGCATACCTAAATACGGATGATTAGATTATCAAGTTTGAGGTACATGTTATGTTTTGTTTATTTGTTCCACATAACAATTCACTGTAACATGGGTCACTCCATTCCTAAACACATGCAGTGCTGATTTGTTTCTGTCTATTTCACACAAGCCAGGGTCATCTGCAAGAGGGAACCTCTATCAGACTGGCCTGTAGGCATGCCTCTGGGGGGGGGGGCGCATTTTCATGATTAATGGTTGATGTGCATGGCTCAGCCCGCTGTGGGTGGTGCCACTGCTGGGCACGTGGCCCTGGACTGTATAAGAAAGCAGCTGAGTAAGCCATGGTGTGCAGGCCAGTAAGCAGCATTCTTCCATGTTATCTGCTTCATTTCTTGCTTCCAAGAGCCCGCCTGCCTGCTTGAGTTTCTGCCCAGGTTTCCCTTATAACAGACTGTGATCAAGATGCGTAAGTTAAATAAACTCTTTCCTCCCCAAGCTGCTTTTGGTCATAGCATTTTAACACAGTGGCAGAAAACAAACTCAAACACATATCAGAAGGCTCTCAAGTTCCGTGTCTCATGCGTTTGCATTCCCCCTTACTTTCCTTATTCCTTAGAAAAGAGAATCATGCGTTTCTCTGAACGGGCCGATAGCTCCGCTTCATGATGGTAATGTCAATGATATTGTGTTATTTTCTCTCACTTTTAAAAGAGGGAGGAGGTCCTAAGGAGACAGGACAGCACAGTAGGACAAGTCCAATGAGAGCAATATTCTAATATCTTAAAAGACTTTCCTGATTGTTTGCTTTTAAACTAAGAAAATAGAACAAAACAGCCATCTATTCCATAAATCATGAGGTACTAGACAGCTTCCTTCGATAGCTCAGTTGGTAGAGCGGAGGACTGTAGGTGATTGCTGATATCCTTAGGTCGCTGGTTCGAATCCGGCTCGAAGGAACACTGTTTTGATGACATTTAGACTCAATTATCAAAGATAGTATAAAAACACCACCACTGAATTATGGAGGAGAGTCAAGTTCATATATAGCTTAAGCTTATAATCATCACTCTGTAGCTCAGAGATCCGCCTGCCTCTGCCTCACAGTGCTGGGATTAAAGGCGTGTGCCACCGCCTGGTCACAAGATGTTACCTTTTACAAATAAACAAACCAGAAAGATGTTCAAACATGTCATAATTTATAATATCCAAACTTTTCATGATTCAGATATTCAATAAAAATACCCCTGGATGGCTCCTTGTTTTTCCCAAGGGTACTCATTTTTCTGTCTTAGGACCGGGAAGCTGAATGGCATCTTAGATGCTTGTCAGTCAAGCATGACAGCAGACTTGAAAATGGAATGGTTAAAATTCCTGTTTGAGGTGGAGTGTATGTGTAATGTTTCATTTTTTTGCTTCATTACAATTGTGCAAAATTGCATGTTCCACTCCTTTTGTAGGCCACGTTAAAGGCCTTTCATGCACCTAGTTTTCCTTGTTCAAAAGGGAGGAAGAATGACGCGTTCCTCTGGTGAAATGGGCAATAGTTGGGCTTCAGGATGGTGTTGTCTGTCTATGGTATCATTGTCATTTCTCTTGTAATAGAAAGGAGGAGCTAAAGAGACCGGGGAGCACGGCAGGGAAAGTGCACCAAAGGGGATGGATGGTCCTGTCTGTAAGGAGTCAGAGCATGAACATCCCTAGGAACATTTCTGGAAATCTATGTGAAACACTTATACATTAAAAACACACATCTCAAACATGTTCTTAAACGCCTGGTGTGTGACCACTAGCTAAATTACTTTTAGAATATCCTAGTACCTTAAAAACACTTCCTTACAATCTATTTTAAAATGAATCAGTCGAACTGCAACAAATCCACCAGCTAGTTTATAAACCTTAAAGAACATACTACTATCTTCCTTCGATAGCTCAGTTGGTAGAGCGGAGGACTGTAGGTTTGCATAGTAATCCTTAGGTCGCTGGTTCAAATCCGGCTCAAAGGAATGACCTTTTGAAAGGGTCTCAACCAGCGCTGGATTCCCAATGTCACGTGCAAATATAGAAGTTGGGGTGGAATAAATTCAGACAGGATAATAAGGAGTTTTAACAATGCTTTAATCCACTATTTTGCATGTTCATTTATTGGCGAGTCAAGTCTTCACGATCCTTTACTATATTCATACTTTAAAAATATTAATTAAAATTTAAAAGGGTCTCTCTTGTAGCCCAGTATGGTGTGGAAGTTATCTTCCTTTCTCCACCTCCCAAGAGCTGAGATCACATGGTTGCCACCACTCCCAGCTGACTTGACACTTAGTGTATCTAAGTATTTCATTAACAGTATTTCCAAGCACACCCAGTGTAGAGAAATAGCATCCAGTGTTGCCATTTAGACACCGCAGGAGACAGTGTGGCATCTTCCTCATGTGCCTCTCCCCCGGCACAAGTGGGTTTTGTAGTAACTCTATGAGGTGTTCTCAAGCATCACCATTGCGGGTGAGGTAGTCAGTTAAAAATGCAAAGTAGGAGTCTATTCTCCCTACACCCGAAAAGGAGCAGCGGTAACCAACAGAAAGTTCTCGTCGATGAAAGCACCAAAACAAACTCACGAGAAGCCTTCAGATGCACCCGAGCTTTACAAATAATGTCCTGGCTTCTGTCCTCTAGAATTTCCGTAGCGGGGGAGGATAAGAAATTATGTCCAGTGAGGGAAACTTAAATCCTCAGGGTCGTCCTGGGCTCCGTCTGCAAAGCAGGAGGGACGGTTAGTTCACGAATTCTGGCAGCATCGCTGGAGCCTCCCCGGCTGGCCTTAGGAGCCCGAGGCGCTGCAGCTGCCACTGCGCTGGGCAGAGGTCCCACCCTGGCCACTTGGCAGCGCGGGCGACCCGCTGGCGGAGGACCGCGCCCCCTGGCGGCCGTGCCCAGGCAGCGCGGGGCTCTGACCGAAGCGTGGCCAGAGAGCTGAGCGCGGGCGGCTACCGCGTCCGTACCCTTCGCTCACCAACCTGAAACAGAAATAGGTTCTAGCACAACAGCAGTCAAAGAGACGCCTTTAAAGAAGCAATACATTGAAAGATTGAAATAGTCACAACGTTAAGCTTAGAACCGCTAGAGGCGCATTTAAAATTTAAAAGCACAGATCCAATTAAAATCCCAAAATTATATGTGCAAATGTATATAAGCTGCTTCAAAACTTTAATTTGAAAATGTTTAAAACTCAGTTGAAACTTCAAATAACTAACACTTCAAAGCTCTGGCTGAAATTTACCAGTTGAACTTCATAAAGCTTTCAAAGGGTGAGTTATCCCCCTCCGCGACATTCGCCCCACCGTCCCGGAATAAAAGACTGGTGTGGTCTCTACAACACAAACTCTCCCAACAAGGTCTGTAGAAACCCCGCGAGAGGCACCAGGACGCGCATTTGGTGTAGGCGGGCAAAAACATTCACACACGTTTTTTCAGAAAATTAAAACGATTCCTCGAGAGTTTGCCGCGGGCCAGGGCTGTGCCCAGCGGAGACATTCTGCGGGAACGCACTTCCTGTGGCTTGGCTCCGCCTCGCCGGCCCCGCCCCGCCCCAAGCCGGAATCTAGCTCTGAACGTCCATTTGTCCATTTGCGTTTGCCTGGTCGGCCCCGCTCCCCCGCAACTGACCACGCCATCATTTCATTGGTCTTCACGGAGTGGTCCCAACCCCACGCCGCAGAGCAGCACACAGGATCTACGTCATAGGCCACCTTTGTCCCCTCCCTGATCTCAGATCGGCTCGTAGGATATGCGTCATCGGGTGGCGACAGACTTACGGCTCCTGTGGGTCTCATATCCGCCGTCATGAAGGCCGCGGAGTTGGTGGAGCAGCCCCAGGCGCCGATGGAGGGAGAGTCGCAGGGAGAGGCAGAGCTGAATGCAGAGGCGGCGGAGGAGCAGGAGGAGCCCGAGGAAGCGGCTTGCAACAGCAGCAGCAAGAAGAAGAAGAAGAAGGTAGTGCCGGGTATCGTGTACCTGGGACACGTCCCGCCGCGATTCCGGCCTCTGCACGTACGCAACCTGCTCAGCGCCTACGGTGAAGTGGGACGCGTTTTCTTCCAGGCCGAGGGTAAGCCCTGCGTCGAAATGAGAGGGTGGCGACGCAGGCAGGTGGGCACGACTTACTGCCTTGGCTGTACACGGATGAGACGTGGGGTGCTGGCTTTTGGGAGGCTCAGGCTCCCCGCTAGCTGTTAAATCTGTACCATTCATGTCTCTTAGAAGGCTGGGGCGGGAGAAGGAGAATGGAGAAGGTGGGCGGAAAGAGTGCAGTAATAAGGCCTGAAAGATACCCCTGATTTTCAAATAATCCCCGAAACAGTGTAGGATTAGCCTCCTTCAGCCTCTTCCACCTCTTGACACGCAGCCTCTGGAAATGGAGGTGGGGGTTGGTGCGGCTCTTGTTTGTTCAGGGAGTTGTCATTTGAAGAGAGGAATGAGTTAAAGAAAGGAGAGTCTGCACCTTACACATAGTCCTTTTCTATGAACAACTGTGAGCTAACACCCGAGCTGGCAGGTTTGGACTTCTGGCCAAACGGAGGTGTGTCTCAGTGGATGCTTGACCAGGATGTTCGTTGTGTTTGGCCCACAGACCGCTTTGTGAGACGCAAAAAGAAGGCAGCAGCGGCCGCGGGAGGAAAAAAGGCAGCTAAATACAGCAAGGACTATACAGAAGGCTGGGTGGAATTCCGTGACAAGCGCGTAGCCAAGCGAGTGGCAGCCAGTCTACATAACACGCCCATGGGTGCCCGCAGGCGCAGTCCCTTCCGTTATGACCTGTGGAACCTCAAGGTGAGGTCTAAGGTTTCTCTGCCACGCTTTCATTATTCCCTCCAGCCCTAGCCCAGGCACCCTGTCCCTCTTGCTAGTTCTAAACAGCTCCCAGCTTCTTCTCCCATTCTGGTCTTCCCGCCCTGACCGTTTCTTGTTTTCCTGTCCACAGTATTTGCATCGTTTCACTTGGTCCCACCTCAGCGAACACCTTGCCTTTGAGCGCCAGGTACGCAGGCAGCGCCTAAGAGCAGAGGTCGCCCAAGCAAAGCGAGAGACTGACTTCTATCTTCAAAGTGTAGAACGCGGAAAGCGCTTCCTTGCAGCTGATGGGGATGCGACTCGCCCGAATAGCTCCTGGACCTTTGCTCAGCGTCCCACTGAGCAGGAGCTGAGAGCCCGGAAGGCAGCGCGGCCAGGAGGGCGGGAACGAGCTCGGCTGGCGAATGCCCAGGACCAGGCCCGATCCAACAGGGGGCTCCTTGCCAGGATCTTTGGAGCCCCTCCGCCCGCCGAGAGCAAGGAAGAATCATAACCAGTAAAGGACTACTGATGGAAAAAGAAGTCGCTTTTACCTGCCAGCCCCGCCCTCTGCTGGTCTGCCTCTGGCAGGCGGAAATGGAGTGTCTAAGTGGATGTTTTCTCTCTATTCCGTAGACCAAGAGTCTGGTAAAAGGCTTTTTTTTTTGGTGGCCTCTTTTTACCCACTCTGACCAAATCCTGTAAGTGCCCAGCTGAGAACTGACTCTTACTATCCAGGATGATTGCTACCGGAAGTGCCTGTTGGTTTTTGTTTAACTTCTGGTTCCTGCCTCTTTCTCTGGGCTCCTAACAATTTCTGTCTCAAAGAGCGGATTTGCCTTCCACCAGAGTAGTAATAATAAGCCCATGTGGTCTGTGGTGTTCATCCACTGTGGTGGGGCAGAATTGACAGGAATTGGGTTAGTGGCCCAATTTGAAATTTTTGTTTGAAAATAAAAACTAATTATTTTTATATGCCTTTTAGTTTTTCAGGTGGGAATCATCAAGTAGGTGTCAACTTCTTTTGAAGCCAAGCATGCTACTTAGTTACCCTGGTGCAGACATGATCCTAGGCCACCCCTGACTCTCACTGACTAGCAGATATGAAACCAATGCTCCTCAGACCTTTTTCATTTTCAGATAGGGCCTCACTCAAGTGTTCAGGCTAGTCTTGAGGTCATTCTTTAAGTTGCTCAGGTAAGTCTTGAGCTACCTCTACGGTCAGATAGGCCCAGAACTTCAAATCCTGTCTCAGCCTCCCCAGTGGCTGGGATTATAGGTCTATGTACAGAAAGCACGTAGGTGGAAAAGGTATTTACTACTAGATGTAGGAGAAAAGACACTTGGCTGGCATATGAGCCCTTCCCGGGGCCATTCCACCTGCCTTTCCAGCCACTGTTCCTCAGTCCATTCCCCGGCCTCAGTCCTGCCCAACACTGTATTTCTGTCACATGGACCACCTTCCTCAGCACCTTCTGAAACTGCTCTTCTGACGGCCTGACTCCCTGGCTCCTCCTCCCCTCCCTACACGCTCAGGCCCATTTCTTCTTTGAGATCAAGTCAAACAGGATGCCAGGCTGGCTTCCCCACCTTCCCCTCCTCAGGTGGGTTCTGTGGTGCGAAAGCATTGTCTGATTGCTGGGGTAGCATTCTTCCTGCTTTACAGTAATGGTTGACATTTGCTTCCCTGGTGTTACCAGGAACGAAGATCCAACTTTATCTCTCACTCCTTAGGGTTTCAGTTTGGTTGACAAATAAATATTCATTAACTCAGTTGCTGTGAGGAGAGATATTATAAAAATCCTAAATAAAAAAAAAAATCCTAAATAATATGTTCTGCACTTTACATGTAATGTTTGTTTTAACGACCAATTCCAGAGCTATCATTTACTTGTGACAGTGATGAGGAGTGGCAGAAACTTCTTAGTCTTAAAAAGTCACATGGCTAATAAAAGGGAGCGTTACATCTTTCCCTGGGTCTCTGCTTAGACCTACTCTTTCCGAATTTAAGCCTCTTCAGGAGCAGTGGTAAGCACAGAGAGGGAAAGTTAATGGAAAACATTAATCTGTGGTTCTGCTGTGTGCCTAGAGCACAGTAACGAAACATTGAGAAAACCAAGTGTTAGCTGGGCTTGTGCAAGCCTTTAATCCCAATACTTGGGAGACAGAGGCAGGTAGATCTCTGTGAGTTAAAGGCCAACCTAGTCTACATGGTAAGTTCCAGGATGGCCAGGCCACATTGTCTCAAAAAACAACAAGAAATAGAAAGAACCAAAATAGAAAATGCTCGTTGCTTCCTAGTCTTACTTTTGAGTTAAAGACAGTGGTGAACTGCCATGTGAGTGCCGGGAATTGAACCCTGGGCCCTCTTGAAGAACAGTTGTGCTCATAACTGCTGAGTCATCTCTCCAGCTCCTTAAATTGATCTTTGTAGATGTAATTCTAAATGGTCTTATTAAATAAGAACAAACCTGGAGCCAGGTATTGGGGCGAATGCTGGAAGATCAGAGAAGTAGAACAAACCACAGCTACCTCACCTCACCAGTTCCTCAGCTGATCCTGTTTCCTCAGACTGGCAGCTTCTGAGTCCTCATCTGAATGGATCTCACCTGAACTGCTGCTCAAAAGGCTAAAAGCTTAACCAGCCTAGTTCCTGGGTTTCAAGCCTTATACACCTTTCTGCTTTCTGCCATCACTTCCTGGGATTAAAGGCATGAGTCACCATGCCTGGCTGTTTCCAATGTGGCTTTGAACTCAGAGATCCAGACGGATCTCTGCCTTAGAAATGCTAGGATTAAAGGTGTGAGTGCCACCATTTGCTGGCCTCTATGTCTGTCTAATGCTGTTCTGTTCTCTGACCCCAGATAAATTTATTAGGCTGCACAGTATATTGGGGAACACAATATCATGACAGATCTTTAAGAAAAAAATTTTCGTATAGGTCTGTGCACGGAAGGCCTAACATCCCCTGGTACTGACAGTTGTGAACCACCATGTGAATGTTGGGAACCCAGGTCCTCTGGAAGGGCAATCAGTGCTCTTGACTGGGGAGCCATCTCTGGCATCAAGGAATAGCATCTCGTTTTGATCTGGGGAAGGAGGAAGGGCATAGCACCAATGCTTGACTGTATCATCACCAGTGACCATAACTGCCCATCTCTCCCTTCCAGCAAAAAAAAGTGATTTTATTCCAAACTTCCCTGCCCATGCACAGCTCCCAAGATATTATTTGATTAGTTAATCCTAGGGTCTCTCTTGGTAGTAGTTGGGTGAGATGTGTAATCAGATCCACCTCAGGAGGGAAATGCACTCAGCATGTAGTTGTCCTCCAGAAGTGCAGGTGAGGGAGGTCTGTTGCTTTTCCTCTGGACTTTGTCAGGTGCCAGTGAGGGCTAGAGGAACTTCAGGCCACAGCACAGTGTGAGGCCTGTGTTGGGGATGACGGCAGAGATCCAATGACATCATGTCTGTCATGTCTGTCAGGTCAGGTATGTATGTCTCAGCACAGAGCATTAGATCCCCTGTGCAGACATCTGTGACTGCTGGGAACCCAGGTCCTCAGGAGCAGCAGAGATCCCAAGGACATGAGGAGACCCTGAAGTAACCTCTGTCGTTTCTTCTCCAGGTGTGTGGGCTGTGATAATATATCCACTCTGTTTAAGCCATTTGCTGCTGAAAGCTCCTAGGCTGGCGCTCTCATAACTCAGCATGGGAAGTTTATGTCCCAGTTCCTCTGACCACTACCTGATGAGAAATTCAAGTCAGTGACAGGCAGTCTGTGTGCCGAAAGTCAGTAAGATCTCCCACCCCCATATTCCAGATGTTCTGGCCTTCCATTGAGGACTGTTTATCTATTGACTGGAGCCCAGTCCTGCTTGACTGTCAATATCGTTATTCTGGTTTTTTTTTTTTTTTAATTTTTTTTTTTTTTTTTTTTTTTTTCAAGACAGGGTTTTTCTGTGTAGCCCTGGCTGTCCTGGAGCTCCATCTGTAGACCAGGCTGACCTTGAACTCACAGAGATCTTTATTCTTAATTGCCACAGGCCCAGCACTCACTCTACCCCCAAAGATAAACAGCCACTGAGAATGGAAAGAAAATTCTAAAGGTTAAAAAGTCAAAATGGAAATTGTCAGGCAGCAGGCTAAGCAGAGAGAAGAGCAAAGCCTTACTCGAGAAATGAAAACATCACTGTAGCTGGGCGGTGGTGGCGCACGCCTTTAATCCCAGCACTTAGGAGGCAGAGGCGGGTGGATCTCTGTGAGTTCGAGGCCAGTCTGGTCTACACAGTGAGTTCTAGGTCATGCTCCAAAGCTACACAGGCAAACCCTCTCTCAAAACAAACAAACAAACAAACAAACAAATCACTGTAGTGTGTAGTCACCACTGTTCTTTCTTCATTTAAACACCTGGCTTGGGATAGCATAAGGTCACATGGCTGTGAGCTACCTAGATCGTGAGTTAACCCTTTTTCCTGATGATGACATGTTTGCTCCAGTCTGAGTCAGTTACTGTAGACACCGGGAGTGTTGCATCAAGGAATGAGCCAGGAAAAGGGGGGCGGGGACAGCTGAGCAAGCCATGTGAGGAGCATCACAGTTGGAGCATTTGCTGCCCTCCCTAGAAGGACAGGCAGGAACCCAACCCAATGAGTTTTTCTGTTATTTCCTTACTTAGAGATAGGGCCCCACTACATAGTCCTCGCTGGCTTGGGCCTGCCTAGGTAGACCAGGATGGTCCTGAATTCTCAATCCTGCTTCACCTGAAAGTGTTGAGATAACAGGCAGATCATTCAGACTCCTGGGTTCCTGTTTGGAAACCAGACCCCTAAAATCTCTGATATACTGTTTCCAGGTTCCTCCCTCCTAGTGAGGTTAGGGATTTGAATCTGTCAGAAAATGGGGCTTCAAGAGCGGTGATCTGGGACCAGTGAGAGAACTCAGCAGTAAAAGTACTTGCTGCCAAGCCTGATGACCTGAGTTTGTTCTTTGGAATCCACGTGGGAGGAGAGAACCAATTCCCTCATTTGTCCGGATTTCCCACACAGGAGAGCTGCCACTCACTCGTCCCCAGCCTCCTAATAAATATATGTAAAGGAGTTAAAAACAAAAGACTGTTTACATCTACTAAGCTGAGAGGCTGGAGGGTAGACAAATGTCAGGAAGAGCAGCAGATGTCAACCTTAAGAAAGTGGATCACTGAGTAAGTGCAGGAGTCTTGTAAGGACCAGTTCCCAGAAGGTTCCAAGAATGTTGGTTGAAGCTCCAAGAAGGACCCAAGAAAGGATGGTGGAGCAATAGACAGCGGCCCTGGCTGTGGACCAAAATATTCTTGTTATGGCCCGGATGTGGCCAGTTGAGAGCACTTGCCTGCCATGAACATGTTCCTAGTTTAAAGCGGTCCCTTTTTGACAGTAAGTTGGGACGTTGGTTCTAATCGTTATAATCCACCCATGTCAAGAAAATCTTCAGAAAGCTTCTTTCTGAAAAGGTCCTCAAAAAGCTCAGTTATAACTTACATTAGGCCAGCACACACTGAGAAGGTCTGCGGAGAAGTGCAAAAGATTTCTGAAGGAAAAGATAAGAAACCATCACTGACCCACCAGCAGCATCTCCTATACACGCACCCCCAACATACACACACACACACACACACACACACACACACACACACACACACACACACACACTTTGTAAGGAGAGCATCCAAGAACTCTTGGTTCTGTTTTAAACCTCCCCTCCAAGAATGAACACAAAAATATCAGCTCATCCTGCTCAATTTTCTTTGATAAACAGCTGTTGCAGTCCACAGCTTCATAACCAGCGGAGAGAGGCTTTAGTAGGCAAGTGGGATGCACCTGGCCAGACAGACATAAACACTACCCAACAGCTGCAAGTAATCCTCCCTGAGGGAGAGGACCTTCCGGCCTCAAGGGGGTGATGTGGATTGTTTTTCTGTCCAGTAACTGGGGCTGAGATGTGAGTCCCTGGCAGCATGAGCTGTAATTGTCCTTGGTCTCCCCACCAAGGCTCTGTGGGTCCTGAACCCTACTCTACTCTGCATGTGCCAGGTCTGAGCTCTGGGCTCCCACGGTTGGGAGGATTCTCTGGATTTGTCCTTAGGGAGGGATCCACGCCTTGAGAGGATCTCCATTGTAAGGGAAGTTGGCCCTCTCATGGTCCACAGGACATTCCCAGACCAAATTCTCAGCACAAAGGAGCTTTATTACCCCGAGGGTCCAGCAGGGGTGGGGTGGGGTTGGGGTTGCAAAGGCAGCTATCACAAATAATGCTGCTATGAACATAGTTGAGCATGTGACCTTGTGGTATGATTGAGCATTCCTTGTGTATATGCCCAAGAGTGGTATAGCTGGGTCTTGGGGAAGATTGATTCCCAATTTTCTGAGAAATTACCATACTGATTACCAAAGTGGTTGTACAAGTTTGTACTCCCACCAACAGTGGAGGAGTGTTCCCCTAGCTCCACATCCTCTCCAACATAAGCTGTCTTCAGTGTTTTTAATCTTAGCCATTCTGACAGGTGTAAGATGGTATCTCAGAGTCATTTTTATTTGCATTTCCCTGATGAATAAGGATGTTGAACAATTCCTTAAATGTTTTTCAGCCATTTGAGATTCTTCTTTTGAGAATTCTCTGTTTAGCTCATAGCCCATCTTTTTAAATTGATTTGTTAGGTATTTTGATGTCTATTTTCTTGAGTTCTCTATATATTCTGGAGATCAGCCCTCTGTCAGATGTGGGGTTGGTGAAGAAAAGTCCCATTGTGTAGGCTGTCGTTTGTCTTATTGACCATGTCCTTTGTCCTACAAAGC